AATTAAGAGTGTGTGAGGTGTGCGGTTGAAGCACTGAAGCAAATGTTACACGAGGAGATCAGCCGGGGTCAGGAGACGTAACTGGACCCTCTGCACATCTTTACGAGAGGATAGGAAGCTTCTCTTTTCAGCCTGTCAGCCTGGCACATGCACACACTTGATATTTCAGAGGAATGTCTTTGGTTAGACTGGAAATAGCTTCAGCTCATCTGTGTTTGTGGACAAACACACACACATATGTACACAAACGGAGGAGTGTTAAAGGTTTCAGGAGCCTCACCGCAAGCTCAGACCAGGCATGTTTGGAGTGGTCGCTGCCAGTCAGCCATGCGTTCCTCATGCTGGGCTCAGCAAACAGACTTAAAGAGAGGGTGGACAGGGCCGGGCCGCTGTGACCACAGAGCCAGTCCTGCCTCAGCCCCGTCCCGTCAACAGGAGATCTGTGCTGCTTCCTCATAACAACCGTACCCATGACAACCCCTCTCTGTTGGCTGTGTTTTGAACACAAACTGCTTCTCACTGTCTGTTATTCCCCTGTCTCTCCATCTGTATATCTTCAACAAATGGCTAGACCTCTGTGCTGTAGCACTCTTTCTGTTGTATATGCTGCTACATGCACTTACACGCACAGTCTGTCATTTCGAAGGTCCTCACCTTAGTACAACAGTAACTGTTATAATCTGCTTGTCTTTCTAAGCACTGGCTGTCTCAATAGGTATGCCTTGAGAGATTTGTGCAGTTTTGAATGAGCGTTTCTTTGCTGATTACATCTGCTAAACGATCCTGCTGGCTTGTTAACTAGCTAGCAAAGCCTAAAGATAGCAGTTTGTTTGGGTTAACCGAGCTGACTCTTCTCAAATTGCAACTAAGTGTGTTGATGAAGACGCGAGACCGAGACAGTTTATTGTGTCCCTGTAACCTCCATGCGAGAGCAAGTTTACCTCACCGGACCTCTGACTTAACTCATAGCCGTCCAACCGTGATCCAGTAATTTGTCCCAAAGGAATATTTCCTGTCTGCTTGCTTTCTTAGATATCAAGTAACCAATGCCATAAGTGAGCTATTCATATCATCCTGCAAACCTCACATGCTTCCCATCCCATTGTCCTTGTATGGGTGTGATACAACTGCAAACCCACTGTAGGCGCTCCTTGAGTGTGTCGGCCAATAATAGTGTTCGATATTGACCTCTCACAAATATATTGTTATTGGCATATGTGCCGTTGGATACATGACGATATGAAAACTTTCTTTTACAGCACGGAACACAGAATTAGGTGCTTATGGTAACAAACAGTGTTGTCACATATTTTGTCCAGCAAGGCAGCTTTGGCTTTGTTTACAGGACTGTCTGCAGCACATGCAGCAGAGTGTGGTGCAGAGTCAAGTTTTGTCACTCTGGAAAGTTACTATTACTTCGATAAAACTGTAATTTGTATACAAACAGCAACAATTTTAGCATGAATATATCAATAATAACCCTTCATACACCCTAAAATCACTATCAGTCACCAAAATCCAGTATAAGTCGGATTTATTTATAAATGTATGCATGTGAAATATCAGCTCTTTTGTTGCAGCCCACGTGTCCGTCAGTTGTTCGAGAGCCAATTGGATTTGGACCCCGGTCTGTACACACCAGTCTTGGCAGGTCTTGCAATGTGTTTCTGTCCTTGGGTCCATGCTTTGAGAGTTAATCTGCTACTAGGCTGCTTAATACACACAAAGAAAACACAGTAACCTGCTTCCTCAGTATGCTGCACCACAGCAACACTTTTAATCTCTGTCCAGGATGTGTGAGTTTCTACCTCCGGAGTTGTTTTCCCTGAGATAGGTCTTTAAGGTCTTGGGCTCCTAATACTGTACACTTAAAATGTGACACTTGTTGTATCGAAGCCACATTTAGAAATTACAGACAAAACAAAGCCTATCCTAACCCTACTAATAAATACCAACAACAGTAGATGTATTGTATATCCCATAATTGTGTCTCATTTGTTTGGGAGTGGAAGACAGGCTGTTTCTATATGTATGTGGGTGTGTGTTTCACTGTAATAATAGTGGTACTGACAGGTGTGAACTCTGCTGAAGCTTTTATCTGTGCGAAGGTGTCTGATAAGCAGTCAGATTCAAACTCAGACATCCTGGCAGAGAAGACAGCTGCTGTGTTTTTGAACCAGATCGTCGTCCCCGTGGGTCGATACCGTCTGCACCTCTGACTCCGTCCAAGGTCTTCTGCGCACACAAGACACAGCGTTTGAAGTTGGTTTTGTCATCTCCTGTGTTTCCTGTCTCGGTCTTCTGTTAAATATGAGGCTACAGCATAAAAATAAATACGTACAGGTGAAATGTGTGGTCTCTGAGCCGAGTGCAGGTGTATATTTATACTTGCTTATCTGGGCTTGTTTATGGATGAGTAAGTCAGATGCAAAGGTCTCGGTGGACAAGCCAAAAGGTCATGTGTCAGCATTTTTGCCTCATTTTCCATTCCTGGGCAGTCGGCAAGGAGGCAGAGGGCCTCAGCTATTGTTTTTTTCCTACCTGGGTTCACAAACTCATCACAAGCGGTAAGAAATCCAAGCAGCACCTCCAACACTGCCCGCCAAGCACAGGAAGGATCACAGAGGTCACTTCAGCATTCCAGGGTGTCTCTTTACTGCAGGAAACGGCCTCAGAGACATGAGCCAGCGTTTCCTGTCAGAGTGCACAGTGGACACGCTCACCTTTCATAACAGCGCGCCTCTCTGAGAACCTCTGGCTTGGCATGGCCCGGCTCAGCACGGCCACAGACGGTGTATTCGCGGGACTAACCTGCAAGCCGCAGCACTTTTAGGGGGCAAGGTGGTTTGATTACAACCCCAAGGGAGGAATGGTGTTCCTGGGCCTGTTGTTTCTTTTTTTCCTGAAGGCTGCTTGTGTGCTAAGACTGTGTGTGTCACAGTCTGCACATCCTGGGTGACGGAGCCAAGGGTAGATTAGATACCGCGGGTCAGCCCGAGTTCTGGTTGTCAGCAAGGGGAATGTTGTTTTCCAGCTTCTTCTTTTTTTTTTTTTTTTTTCTTCTTCCTTTGCAGCACGTTAACATTTCTGTGTCCGATATCCATGTGTGACTGCAGCTGCTGTTCCTCATCGTTGATTCATGGAGGCTGTGACTCTCCATTCCGGAAAATTCACTCCGAAGACAAACAGCTTAGCAGTTAACGGAAACTGTAGGAAATGTTTCTGAACATTGTTGCAACTTAGAGAGAAAAAAAAAAAATCTGATTTGAGCATGCTTATGGGATAATCTCGGGGTGAAATGGATTAATAAAGTTAATTTAAATGCAAGCTCATATTCTGTTATGCAAGCGCACCTAAATCCTAAGTAAATTCAAATACTCCCAATCCTTGGAGTTGCCAAGCTGTTTTCTTCCATTGTTGAGACCTGGTGTTGGAGGGTTATTTTGTCATGTCGATGCCTGCCCTGCCCTCTCAGTCCAGGCTCTTATTTTTAGGTGGCAAGCCTCTTGGCTAAACGTGTCTCCACCTTTTTGCTTCCCTGTGGAATACAGTAGGTTGTTTTTTTTCCGGATCACAAATGGATGGGGACACACAGGAGGAAGCAGGTCATGGAGCAGTGTGTCAGAAGCTGTGTTAGTGATGATGATGATGGTAAAGATAAAGGCTTGCTATTTCTGAGCAGCCAAACATGTTGTTTACATGGCATGGTAGCTGCAAGGTGGTAGGTTCCACTGTTGTTTTTGGCACACGGGTGCATTGTGTTTTGCTCTGGGTGGCCACTGAAACTCCTCTGGCAGCAGAACAATAACAGCGCTGGCACAAAGAGGGTCAGAGCTCAGGGGATATAATGAAGTCAAGGAGACTTTGTGTGTGTTCATGTGTAGCTGTTGTGTGTCTGAACAAGTTTATCTAGTATGGTAAATCAGATTAGAGTCGAAACAGGACGTGGATGTAAACATAGAACTGTAATGTCATCACCAGGACCCTCTACAGGAAGCGGAGTGGCTGGGATTCCCCTAAACTCCCCTTCAGTTACACAAACAGTTTGCCTCCTTCAGAGTTACGTCTGCCTTTAAGCACTGCTGAATGTACACTGACAGAATAATCTGCTTTGTTGATATCTGTCCGTTTTCCTTCACAATAACTGGCCTGTGTAGGGTTGTTTTTTCTCCCACCACAGCTGCACTAGAGTGTGATAAACGTACGGCTACAACGTCTGAAATTCAGATATAACAAAAGAGGAACAAACCCTCTATGTCCTCACCGTATAACAGCGATAAATCATATTACAAAAATTCCAATGCGCACTAGGAGGAAATACCAATTTCACCACTGATAGTCTTAATAAACAAACAAAAAAAGAAGTGGTGCAGTCACAAGATAAGTTTCACTCTCTCAGCAGACTCTGAACTACAGTTTAAATGACTCTTATGACAGATCAACCTGATGATTCTTCTTCAATTGATCAATTAGGTGTATGTGCTATACAATGGGATTATTGTCATTATTGATTAATCTATTGATTGTTTTCTGGGTTAGTTAATTAGTTCTTTGATCTACAAAATGTCAGAAAACAGTGAAAAATGTCCAAGATGATAAATGTCAACAACCCAAAGATATTCGGTTTGTTGTTTTAGAGAGGTAAAGAATATATAAAGAAGGTGGAATCAGGGAATTTAAACTTATGAAAAGATAAAAAATGACCAAAAAAATGTGCCCTTAGGTTAAGGTTTCGCTTTCAGCTTTTCAGCCACTCACTATGCACCGCTGAAGGATAATTCTGACAGCTGAATGGCATCAGAAACACATCTGCAGGTGGATTTTTCCTTCAGGCTCTGCACCAGGTTATGAGTCTCTCCTTTATAGTGGTAAAACAGTAGCAGACAGTGCAGAAGGAAAATCTTGCCTGTAGACAGAGCTAATCATTAGGCTGAGGCTGTCTGCAATGATTTCACGTCCTGGATGTACATTAATCACCGTCTTTCCCTCCTCGTCCTCAGATGTGCACCCCAGCCAACACACCAGCGACGCCCCCCAACTTCCCAGACGCGTTGACCATGTTCTCCCGGCTGAAGGCGTCCGAGAGCTTCAACAGCAGCAGCGGCGGCAGCCCCATGGCCGCCTCCATGGCCACCTCACCCCCGCCCCCCCAGGTCGGTGGCTGGGGCGTCTCACCAAATGTACCTAATGTGCCGCAACCTCCACAGGGACTCTGGACTCAGGGGCAGCCCCCCACGCAGCCCTGCCCTGCCTGGCCTACGGGAGTGAACCCGCACGCAGGCACTGAGCAGAAGGCTAGTGTAGCGATGGAGGCGGAGAGATGAAGGGCCGCACGGGACTGAAAAGGCCCCCCCCCTCCACCCTCACCCTCCCTTCCACCAGGGGGAGGGAGGTAAACAGGGGGATGAATGTGGGAAGGGTGGGACGGGTGGGAGGCGATAATGGGTAGAAAATGGGTTTGGGTCTTTTTCCCAAAAAAAACGGATGATACGGAAAGAGACAGAATCTACGCAAACCAAGAAAAACTCAACGTGGACAATTTAAGAAGAGGAGAAAACCAATGCAAATGTCAATACAAAAATAAGAAAAAAAAAAAAAAAGATACGCACACACATAGTAATAAGAGAGCAACTGAAATCTTTGTTAGTTTTTTTCCTAAGTAAATGCATAGATAAAAAGAAATATTATTGAACTAAAAAACAAGAAATGAAAAAAAATTGTCACGCCCAAGGATTCTATGTGATGTTCAAGGACATTCAAGGCAGCAAACTTCGGTTTTTCGTTTAGTTTTTTTCTCTTTTTTTTTTTTTCATCTTTTCAGCCAGTGTTTTTTAGCCACTGGTGTTCTGTGTTTCTGCAACAGTCTGTGCTGCATGAGGAGAGAGGAACTTGCAATGCAGTGTTTTAGATTGATTAAAAAATCATCACGCACTTGAGTGTGAGTGTGGACGCATGTGAGCGGGTGGTCAGTTTGTAATCAAAAATGTATACACACACATGCATATATATATATATACATATATATATATTCACACACACATACACAACTACACACACATTAGGGTTTAGAGGAAACACCTCCATACTGTCATCCCCATCGTCAAAGGTGGGACTTTTCTTACCTCACCTGGTGGTCACCTGACTTCTTTCAGCCAATCAGGGATTCTTCTTAAACCAACTGTTGCCGCCGCCGCAGGACATGTTTTTAAAGGTTTTTTCTTAAAGGCAGCAGCCACTCTGGTTTATGCTAACTGATCCTCGCTGCAAAGGCTTTTCCTGACACAGTTTTAAACCTGGACTCAGACTACAACTGTCCACTGTATACTTTTTTCTGGAGATTTGGGTTATTACAAGAAAAATGAGAAATCATGGTTTAATATAATATCGTTTGTAATGCTAATTGTTCTGTTTTTTTGTTGAAAGGTTGAGGGGAGGTGGCTTTTGAAGATGGGTGGGACTTCAGGGTTTTTTTTTTTTTCCTGTTTGTTTTTTTGTGGAAAGAGTGAATCAAACGCAGCTAAAATGGCTACAGATTAAAAACAAACACGACTACTCCATCTTTGTAAACAGAATTGCCACTTTGCATGATGTGTTCATAACGTGTAACATCTTTTGTAGCAAACATACATGAGGTCGAGACATGTTTTGGGGAGGGGGTGGACATAAAGGTGAGGGTGGCGGGTCCCAAAGTTAATAGAAATGCAATAGATGTCTCGCTATAAAGGCAGAATTGGACAAAGTGTCTTAGATACGTTAAACATGAGAAATAAAATGTGCGTGAGACAGCTTCAGGAAGCCTGATGCAGGCTATTCGGGGACACTACAGATTACTTTCAGATATACAGTATATATATATTTACCCTCAGATACTGTACTGTGGAGGGGTTTTTACAACATTTAGGTTTCTAGTTTTGACCAGTCCTTGGTCCACTGATACTGCTGAGGGACAGTTCAGGGATGACCCTGATATACGGCAATATTTTAAAAACGCAGGGTCTGCCCCTTTTTTTAGTTAGTCCTGTTTGAATTATTTTTACATTCATTGAAGAAGAGAAAGTTAAAAAAAGAAAATATTTTGAATAGCTGAGGGCTCTTTTTGTTTTTGAAGAATAAAAAGACGAGTAAACACAGATGAGAAAATTATGGATATAATACTGAAAAAGAAAAAAAATAACCAACTTCCTTTTTATTATTTAGACTAAACTAATGTTTGAGTTCATCCTTTCTCCATGCTTCATACTTTAATGAAATCAGAGCGTGTCTGGGTGGGCCTGTTCCTAAAATGGTTTCTCATGTATGTTTCCCCCTTGTATGACTGTATGAGACCATTCCCACAATATTTGTGGACTACCTGATAATTAACTTATCATTTTTGTGAACCTAAATAAATATTGTATGTCAACCTATACGGTGTTAGTGCTGCAGTTGATTAAATGTGACTTTCATGGTGACAGTGTGTGTGTAGCTACGGGGAGCGCGACACCAGAGCAGCGTGGTAAATGATGACAGCAGGAAGATGGATGCATCATAATCTCACCCTTGGCTACCTCTCAGTCAGGTAGATTTAATACACTCACCCCTCCAGACTATCCAGTCATGTTCTACAAACCTCTCTCTCTGCTGAGCGCTCAGCTTCCTGCCTGATGTCGCGCAGCAGAACATGGAAGGGTGCTAGATGAAAGCCAAAATGGAGGAGAGAGAAAAGGGAGGAAAGCTTTTCCAGAGAGGGAGTTCAGCTCTGCAACCGTCGCTATCTTCACCTCCCTCAATCCGCAGCTCTTCAAGATGTAAACACAAACAAATACCAGCTGCTCGCATGCACGCAATCTCGATACATAAACACACACCACACTCGGACGCCCACACATGCCAGTGGTGGAGCATTGGTGGTGGTGGTGGTGGTGGTGGTGGTGGTAGAGGAAGGAGGGTCACAGAGTTCTCCGTGTCCTCGGCTCACCCTGACTGACTGCTTCCTCCCCTTCAGGAAATAAGAGAGATTCCCTTTGCTGATTGTGTGTGCCACTTTGCCAATCTTTCAGCTGCAGTGAGTCGGTGAGTGTCGAGGACTTGGCACCGGGCGCTGCAGGGGCTCGGAGGAAAAGAAATGCCAGCGAACACGCGGGGAGGCGGGATGTTCCGAGATTGATGATAACGTTGAAATTTTAAAGGACAACCAATAGTTATCATGTTAATAAAGCATATAAATAATGTATAACTGTCTGGTTACCTCCAACATAGAGGACAGTTATGGTTATCTTGAAGTCTTTCGGCCACGATAATGGTGAGGTAAAAATCTGAAGGCCTGAGCACAGCAAGCAGTGTAAGGAATTACACTGTGACTATTCAGATTTTTTTCACTGAGATAGCTGTAATGTCACTCTGACCAGTCAAAATGACGGTTAGCAATGTCTAGAATTCAGTTGTGGCCAGTCAGTGTAAGAGTTGCAGATGTCCCGTCATTAAGACTAGTCGAAACAATTATGCGTTCTGCTATGACGAGCTGTTTTAACATTTAGCTAGACCCAGCTAGACTGGATATGCATTGCAGATATCTGTAATTCGATTAGTCAAAAAGAACACTTCAGATGCCCACATCGTCTTTCTTTCCCACGACAACTAACATCACGTTTACTTTTCATGTGTTTGGGGTTTCTAATTACGGAGAGTTTAGTTGTAGGTGTCTGTAGCTGAATTATGACTAGTTGAAGTTTCAGTTTTAGATGTCGACAGTTTAATTCTGAGTAGTCATAAGTATAATTCAGGACATACAACAGATCTACATTGTCCTTTTAAGATATCTTGATTTACGTTTTAACGTCAGAATGATACTTGCGGATATCTTCTACAGATATGTACAGATGTCTGTTCTTATGTCAGAAGTTGCAACAGCTTAGAGGCAGCGTGTTTTTTCAAACAGTTTTACCACCATCTTAGAACAGCCTCAGTTTGTTGCTGGTAAACTCTTCCTATTTCTTAGCCCTTTCTAACAATCTTACAACAACACCACAGCAGCTGCAATTAGTCCTGCTCATCACTATGCTAAACTGAATGATGTTATAGCTATGTGGAAGAAAAACTCTGACTAGTTACAATGTAATTCTGGATAGTCAAACTCAGCCAAAGCATGATAAAATGGTTGGCCACAGATGTCAACGATATCAAGAGTCCTTACTCAAGATATCTATAAGTCAAAACAACGGCTGGAAATATCTGTGATTCCGTTAGCATTAGTCAGAATAATAGTTACAGATATCTCAAACATCATTAAGACCAGTCAGAGTTATCATACTTGATGCTGCTTATGTAAGGCTTCCATTTGGATATTGGTCCAGTGAAGCATTTGAAAAATGTTTCCAGGAGCAATAGTGGATAAGATTGTTTTAGAGAATACCATGAAATAGAGTGAGCTCATCAGCAAAGAGTTTGTGGGGAATGAGAGCTTTGTTCATCAGAGACTTGATGTCAAAATTTAGTAAAGCTTCGGCCTCAGGCTGACATGGTGGTAAAACTGCAGCCATATGTAGTTATGCCATCGTATGTTTGAAAAGTAAGCCACCCTGAGCCCTGCCTTCTCCTTATACTCACCATCCATAAAGTCAAAACTCTAATTCAAGATATTTCAAATACATTCTGACTTGTGACAACATCAGTTCAAGATATCATTCTGACCACATAAAAACTAGTTTAAGAAGTCTAAAAAAAAGACTAGAAATCTTGAATTGGGGGTATTTAAAGACATCTTGAGCTTAGTGAAAATCTGAGACTGGAATTAAAACTAGTCAGGATTTAGCAGCAGATGTCAGCACTGTGAAGTCTAAAAGAATGGCTGTGGATATTTGGAGGGGTCTTTCTGAGAAGTAAGAACTAGAGTACAAATACGTGCAGGATGTATCTAGTCACTGACAATCTGAGTGGTTTAAGTGGTGTCTTTTTCTCACTGTTTTCCCAGAAAACACTGGTGGTTACTGTTTAAGTGCTGAATACAAACAACCCGCTTTTCTTCTGTTTACTCCAAACAAACTGTTGCTGTAAACAATACAAACATCACGTTATATTCTGGCATCAACACTGACCCGCATGAGTTACCTGACACCTCATGTTTAGTCCAGAAAGTCTATCTATCTATCTATCTATCTATCTATCTATCTATCTATCTATCTATCTATCTATCTATCTATCTATCTATCTCGACATACTGTATATGCAAATTGCCTCTTGTTAGCATAATGGAGTGGTACAACACAGTTCAGTTTATGTATCCTTCACACAAACCAGGACACAGTTTTCTGGGTCACTGGATGGTGTGGACACAACACAGCATCCCAGATGGTGCACCATCAGTACACCTGTCCTGCCTCATGTGCAAACATTACTATATTAGCTGGATACTATAGGGCACTTAAAGGTTTACCACTGGTAAATTTACTTGACCTTAATTTTGTTAATTGTATTTTCTGTAAACTAGAAAGAAAACTGCACTTGAAAAGCCTACTTTGACTTCTACAATGAGTTTCCTTCATACTGTAAACAACCAGGTTGATAACAGGAATCATCCGCAGGCCTTAACAGCACAAAATGAAGTTATTTTTCACTTTGTAAAGATACCAGAGTGAGGATGTGAAGCGTAGGCAGTGAAGAAGAAGACTGTTAGCAAGCACACATGGATGAAAAACAATACACAATAAAAAATGTTTTGTAAGGAAGAACCTATGTTAGGATGTATATGTTGTATTTAGGTAAGAAGCAATGAATATTCACCTTTAATTCTTTTATTGTGACTGAATACATATCTGCTATAAAAAGGGGGCTCTTTTTAAACTTCATTGACTTTCATACTTACATTTACCCAAATGTTTCCAGCATGTCCGTTGTGTATTTTACTTTTGTCACCTGTCAGTAGCATCATGTCTTCTTTAACTCCTGTAGCCGGGGAAACTTTAACCAGGTATGACCAGACTGAGACCCTGCACCAGCCTCTGAATGCACCCCAACGTCAAATCCGTCATTCCTGCAGCAGGTGTTGGGGGACTCCGGGTCGCGGGTGTTTTTTAGACCATAGAACCAGTCTCACGTGGGCAACCATCTATCTCTGCTGGCCACAACCTCCATCAGGGGAGGGCTGCAGGTGTGAACAGAGGGGAAAAGACCCGACGAGACCCTTGGGGGAGGAGCAGGAGGAGCAATGGAGGGCACAAAGGCTCCGTCATCAAGGGATGACAGACAGGGAGGGAACACACTTGGAGTTTATTCATGCAGATGAACTTAGTGTTTTTATACGTGCTTTCATGGTGGTTTGCATACGATGCGTTTGAGTGAAACTATCGAACAGTTTTCTTTGTTATCGTTCATGAAGCACATATCACTATTGATTTATCACCCAGATCTATTCCATTGTTTGTGTTGCTCATTTGTGATGGATGACAATTATTTTACTACGATTGTTAGTGATTAGCGATTAACACTACTTTAGCGTATTTCATTAAAATTAATTGACACAAAATGAATATACGGGAATAGCACAAATAGAACTTTAGCACTTTTTATGG